TTAAAGAGTTGGATTCTCATGCTAAGCATGGACAAAGTTTCAAAAAACAATTTGGACGTATGACAGAGTATTTCTGTGCCAAAAATCTTACTTCCGGGTTCGTACAGGATTCTGAGAGTTTTTTTTCGATCGTGGCTCTTAATGACGTAAACGTGGGTGGAACTCCTTATATGGGCATTACTCCCGGAAGAACGCGCCCGCGCACGCATCGACCAGAGCGAGAGCGAGGTCGTGCCCATCAGCGCGCTTCATCCGGTGGCAGTGCTGCATGGGACTCGCTCTGGAAGAATGTCTCCAAAGAAGTGTGTTTTTGGTTGTAAGGGAAAGATAACTTTGTTCAGCTTCCTAAAGAACCCAACGTTATGTAAACAGTGGATGCAGTTTGTTTTTCCAGAGCAGCAATGCAGTTTCACAAGCGTGTTTGTTGACGAACATTTTATAAGCAAGGCCCAGTTCGATGCTGGATTTGCCCATCGTTTGATACTGAAGGATGGAGCGGTCGAGCTATAACAGATCCCAATCATGATTCAGAATTGTAGACGGTAAGTGAAACTGCATCAAACGTCTGTATTTTTTTGGTATTAGGCTCCCAAGTGCTCGTCACTCTTTAGCTCCGCCCACGGCGCGCCTCCAGGAGCTAGGCTTTTTCCAGAGAGAATCGTAAAGCTGTATCTTTATTTTATAAATATGATAAAACTAAAGACTTTTTGGAGATATGAAGGATGCAGTACTACTCTATAGGTACTCAACATTAACATGAGATTGGGTGAAACTGTGTGTGTTATCTCCCCTTTAAGTAACAAAAATGTTTTTTATTGTTGAACTACAAGCCTACAATACTGGTGAACTACAATAACCCTGCACACAAAACACACTGTGTTCACAACCCATTTTACTTTGTAATGTGATGCATTTCTGGGTGAAATGGGTTTTCAGTGGTTTCAAAATTGGCTTGATTTTACATAATCCACTGGAAATTACCTGAGTGGTGAAAAATGTCAGGTGATCAGGGGGAAGGGGTTAAAAAAAATAAGAGGTCTTGATGACATCAGTGGAAAAAGAAAGTCATTTCCAGAGGTTTAAGTACAAAAAAATAAACCTTTTTTTTCCATGTTAACCTTACATTTTCTGCCTCTCAAGATTTTCCTTCAGGGAAAAAGAACACAGTAATCTCACAGAGATCTCTCTCAACAATCTCTCAAACGGTGCTCAGATTTGCCAAGATACCAAAGTCTGCTCTATACTAGTTTTAGTTTTTAGTTTATTTATAAAGCACAAATTAAAACAGCAAAAACTGACCAAAGTGTTGTACACTACAAGATTACATAAAAGCCACACATAACACAAAAATACAAAACATAACATCTAAGATTAGCATATTGGATTAATTAAAAGCCATTTGATTTTTCGGAGAACCAAGAGAAAGCTGATACCCCACTGAAGCATAACTGAGAGCTTAATGAAGTCGTTTGTGCTGTGAAAGAGCAACTTTTGAGCAATGAAATGTTCTACTGGCAGTTGAGTCACTGATCAGCATGCATGTGTGTGTGTGTCTCGTCTGTTTCTCACCGGATCGCGAGACCTCCAGGTCTTAGGTTCGACACTCTTGGCTTGCCGTCCTTGTCACAACCTCCGGAGATCGTGAGGCCGAGACTGGTGCCCTCTTTTTTAATCAGTTCCACTGTCGTCACACCTCTCTGCTCATCTGTGCATACACAAACACACACAATAAGCACACAAGCTCCAGCACACAGACCTTCACAGCAGGTAACTCACCCGTGGGTGTAGCTTGTGTAGCCATGCATTGTGACATGGAAATCAGATCAATTTAACCATTTCATGAAGGGCAGATGGTAGTATTGCAGTCTGGTAGAATAACAGACTGTGTGTAATAAATATATTTACACATTATGGAAGCAAACAAAGGTGTCCATGTAATTAAAATGCCAAGTCATGTCCAAAGAATTGTAAAAAAAAAAATGTACTTATTACTGATGTGTTTTGTTGTTGTTGTTGTTTTATATATAAAGAAAAAGGACAAATTAGGTAAATTTGACTAAACTTTTCACATTAGACACTTGGAACCTAAAAGAGCTTCAGTTGCATTAATGTCATTCAAAAGTTTGGGGTCGACAAGATTTTTAAAATATTTTTAAATGTCATCTCTTATGCTCACCAAGGCTGCATTTATATGATCAAAAATATAGCAAAAATAGAAATATTATTACAATTTAAATTAAATTTGTCATTTGAAATGTAATTTATTCCTGTGATGCAAAGCTACATTTTCAGCATCATTACTGAATCATAGTCTGCAGTGTCACATGATCCTTCAGAAATCATACTAATATGCTGATTTGCTGCTCAAGAAACTTTTCTTAATATTATCAATGTTCTTAATATTATCAATCTTTTTCAATGATTTTTCATTGAAATCTTTTGTAACAATGTAAAGGTCTTTACTGTCACTTTTGATCAATTTAACATCCTTTCTGAATAATTAATATCTTTCAAAAAAAAAAACTTTCTCCAGACATTTGAATGATATGTGTAATGATAAAATTACATTTATGATTTTATGATTTTTAATTGTTTTTATTTTTTACATTTATTTCTTTGTCACAAACACAATATCTCACTTATAGTACACACATTTTTAAATTACCACAATTACTGTATATAATTGAAGAAAAATAGAAATACAAAAATATTTTGTATTCCAAAAATTTCCACTCATGACGTTTATGAGCACCCCTGTAAGGAGAAGATATTTTGGATGTAGAATCTAATTACTCTAATACTTATGACAGAATAAAGATAAATTGCTCAACAAGATTTTATGAAGAACTATGTTTTTAATGCGAAGAAATTACTAAGTGTAATGGTTTAAAAATATTTACTATTTACATAAAAGTTAAATCTCTCTCTTTGTATTATTTGTTCAATTTTATTTTTTATTATAAAACAAAATGTACTTATTTTAATATTTAGATTTTTTTGTCACAAACAACAAACATTCAGTTCAAGAAAACAGAATTACATAAATACTTTGTATTCTATAAATTTCCACTCATAACTGCTATGAGGACACCATTAAGGAGAATATTCTATTCAGTTTGGCCAAATAAAGAAATTATCTGCTAAGCTTTTATGATGCAGCCACTGCAGTGCAAAGTATGTGCTCATTACTGCTGTTAAATCTCTACAGCATCTGATAGTGAGTGTCAGTGTGGTAAATCAGTAGAGACAAATTAACTGACATGATTCTTCACAAGCCCAACGGATAAAAAAAAAAGAACAGAGAGCGACTGAGGGTTTACAGCAGCGGTCCGAAGAAATCAAATATCAGCATTATCACAGACTCTTTACCTTAATGTACGAGACACTGTATGTGTGCTGAGACTCACAGAGTTCCTTAATAAAGAGACTCAATCTAGAGCAAAACACATCTGATACAGCATAGTGGTGTCATGTGAAGCATTAAAGGAATAGTTCATCCAAAAATGAAAATTTGTTGAAAATTTCTCAGGCCATTCAGGATGTAGATGAGTTTGTTTCTTCATCAGAAAAGATTTGCTGAAATGTAGCATTACATCACTTGCTCACCAATGGATCCTCTGCAGTGAATGGGTGCCGTCAGAATGAGAG